TAGAATAGAAAAGAGCGCAGTATACGATTAGAGCCTTATAAAACCTTTATACAACCAATTGGTCTTCACACTTAGGCTGCATTTCTTTATTCATTCTGAACGTTTGGATAAACTTTTTTGTTTATTTATTCTTTAGAACATTCCTGATGATATGTTGACGTATATTTCAAACGCATTCTGTTTATTCTGGCTGCGAAATGGGATTATCCGGAATGTATAAAGAAACACAGCCTTAGATTTTTGTGTTATCCGGAATACTACTTTTGCAAAGTTCCGATAGTTCAATCGGGAAAAATTAACGGTACTCATCAAGTTTTATATGAACATTGAAGACGGGTGTATTTTTAACCGACTCAAAAAAAGGAGGAGGTATCAATTCGTCGGAATATTATTTTTTTATTTAAATTTCAACCTGTGTACAAAAATTAGAAAAGTTCAACAAAGTTGCGCAACGCAATTTTCTACTTTGAAGTGTTTACAAAATACCGTTGATTAAAATCTTTTTTTACAGGTGGTGTCACGCTTTTTTTTATACAAAGTTACTATGTACGACAATTGAAACCAAGCCGCGAATAACGTTGTTAAAGTGCCTTTTTGCAAAACCTGTTTTTTCGCACATTTCCGTTAATATTACTCTCTTACATTGTTCAATCACCAAGTCAGCCAAAATTATTTACCTTACCGTAATCAAATGCATTAGAATCAGTCAGTGGAAGAACCTTACTAACAGCCAGTTTCACCAGATTCATTTAAGTGGAAATTACTTTGATTTTCGAAATTTTGGTTTCACCAATCCATTTTAATTTGTTTTTACTTTTGATTTAAGTGACCTATGCTCTTCACTTAAATAAAAATTAAATCATAATAATCACACTCAGAGGTGTTACACGTTTAATCACCTGATCATTGTGTATCTGCTGCTTACTTACTTGCTTTTACAACACAGCGTGCCAAAGCTTTCAAAAGATCTAATTACAAAGAAGTTGATAGTGTAACAGAGGTACAAATGTGGAATGATGAAAAGATAATACAAATAAAAACGTGAGAAATAGTGGCAACTTCTCTCCAAGAGAACTGTCACTTTGCTCTCACAATTTTTGAGTGTTGGATAATTTTTTGGTCTGCACGAACGCGATTTGGGCAAAAATCGTGATAATTCGTACAAATTCGTACAAATTTTTTGCTCGACGAACAAACCTATTGTTGGTCTTAGCACTTATCAATCTTTAAGAAGAAACAAAAGACATTGGGCTGATTGGAAGGCAGGGGCCTTTTAAGCGAACAAAAATAAACCTAATATAATTTTTAAAGTCTGTTCTACCGATGGTTTGTGGCTTTCCCAATAATGATAGCCGAGCACAGATGGACATGTATGCACTTACTTGATATAACTGACCAAAGTTTCGATAGGAGAAAAAAAATACATGGAAAATTAGTTTGTCTATGCTGTAAATGTACCTTAAATTGTGTACTAATACCAAATGTACTTTCAAATTAAAAATGGCTAAAAAAAGTAAAATAGTATTTACTTTTCCATCACTGGGGTCTTTTAGTCCCTTACGGAGAAACACCCAAGGTAAATGCTTTCCGCATGAAACAAAAAACCGATTTAAATAATATTAAGATTTAAGAATATTGTTTTATAGGTCCTTCTTCTGCATTGACGTTATAACAGCTTAGCCTATCGCCAGAAACACCAAATGTGGAGATCGTCATAAAGTGATAAGTTTGGGTCGAGTAGTAGTAGATTAGCTCATCAAGATCGTCAACTTATCTATGGCCGCTATCATCATTTCTAATATGTGGAAACCGGGGAAGCTTGCCAAAAATGGGGATTCTAATAAGCCGATAACCTCCTCTTCGCCATCGCTAAAAGGCTTAGCTATGCCCGTGCTTTACGTACTACCTTAATTGTAACCGAACCGTTGAGAGAACAGTGCTGCACTTGTCAAGACGTTTGACACCGTCTGCCATTCCACGCCACTAGAAGACAATGAGGCTTTCTCTCTCCCACAGGAACTTAAACGGTGGGCAGCGAATTATCTGAGCGATCAGTTATTTTTAGAGCCGAGGGAAATTAAACAGGGCGGTCCCCAAGGTGGTGACCTATCCTAATTTCCATTTAATTTGTATATTTCGAAACTCCCTCAACCACCAGAGGTAGCCTCCAGCATCTCGTGTGCTGACGATTACTCGATACTGGTGTCCGGAAATGGAATTATTGACCTGCGCTCAAAAACAAGGAGCCTAAACCTCTCCCCTGCGAAATCCTAAGCAACTAGCTTAACCAGCTGAATAAAGAGATTAGCCCCCTTATTCTATAACCCGAATTTTCGTAATTCGTAATTCGTAGCTACGCTACGAAAAACGAAAAATCCACATGCTGCAACCCTTGCGGAAACATGTGCAGCATTGTCAGCTATCAGTTGTTTTTCGAAGATAGCTGACTGAAGGAAAACAAAGTGGAAAGGAATAAAAAAAGCACTCATTTGCTTGTTTATAGTAAAATTTATTGATTTTCAATATTTTGAGGAAAATTATGGATTCTGATGCATTTGCAGTTATAGCAGCGGAGTAAGAGCGCGCTATGGCAATGGACTCACAAAGGAATGCGAAGCTGCCGGGCATAGTAACCATGTTAGCTTCTGGTTGAATTGTTGAACCACAAGCCAGAACTCCTCCTATGCCTGAAGCTCTGGTTCTCAATCCAGTTAATGCAATAGCAGCTTCTTCCAAGCCATTGAAAAGATGCACTTTTTTAGGTGCACCACCTGTTGCGCTTGCTTCTGCCTTCGGCCGCGCTTACGGATTATAACACTTACTAAGTAGAATTATCCTTTCTGTGTTGCGGGGAAGAGGGGCTTCCGCATGTCAAAGGTATACAACATTTCTTGTGCATATCACTCCGGCTATGCCGTCCACAGTATTTTAGTGCAGAACCCACGTCGAAATTTGCAAAAAATGCATAGTGCAAACCCAGTTTATTAACAAGCTAGTGGGAGGAAATTTGAAACATTTAAAATGTGAATCCTTTGATTACACGTGTATGTTATAGTTTTTGGATTCGGGCTGTGCGTTTGGACACAACAATCGAAAATCGTTGTACAAATAACTAAACCGGACCCAAGTTTCTCGATAAAGGGCAACAAAGATTATTTTTTGCTCGTTTATATGAAGCAGCGAAACACACATTGATTTACATCTTTTATTTCGCCTCCGACACAGAATTGTTTTCGTACAAAATTACGCAAAAAAGCTTGCTAGTTCGTTTTTAGGCATGCCATTGCTACGAATTTCGAAAATTCGAAAATACGATTCGGATTGCAGCATACTATTTCTACGATTCGTAGCAAAATCCGAATATAAAAGAGTTGCAGAATAGGGGTGTAGACTACTGATGTGTATTCACGTCGAAAACATACTAACTCCGACTGTAAATAACTCAAATGTTTGATGCGGAACCTCCATCAAGGCACGCGAGAAGGCATCTCTACGAACTAAATGACGTTGTCCAACGCTACGCACAACAACAATTGGACCCGGGACTATACAGACTTGAAATTATCGATATTCATACAGAGACTGTTGCCAACTACACAGACTGCCGTCCTGCGGATGCCGTCATAGGAGTCCTATTACCACCTGTGAACGATAGCCGCGCAATTGTGGTCCAATTACACCAACCACCTCTTTGCATGCCCACTCTACCCAACTCAACTAAGACCCCTCTACCTCTAGTTCGACCCTGTTGAAACAACACGTTTCCTGGCCCTACTATTAGTTGAGCTTGATGACAATGAATGACAAGGTCCTCAAGTCGCTCGCCGGCAGCACTTGTGGTAAAGAAAAACATCGTTGCTGGCAACATACAAGGCAATTGGCCGGCCGGTTTTAAACTATGCTGCACCAGTTTGGACGCCGGGGACTAGTTGGGCGCAGTGGACGAAGCTACAGACATGTCAGAACGCCGCACTCCGGACAACGACTAGGTGCCTTCCGATGACGCCTGAGCATCACCGGCACAGAAAGGCCCAAGTGCTCCCCGTAAGGGAACACAACAAATTGCTTTGTAAGCAATTTCTGGTGGGGTGCCACAGAAGCAAACACCCAAACAGACCTCTGCTACAGAAAGAGCCTCGGCCCAGGCACGTCAGGGGGCACCTATTCGTGTACAAGGACGCAGTCCAGCAATCCGTAGACCAACCACTGGACCCGACGACATACAGACCCACTCGAAACATCTCTTCACATGCCCGGAAAACCCCACAACCCTAACGGCGTCGTCCCTATGGACTGACCCCATAGAGGCTGCACGCTTCTTGGGGCTGCCGTTAGTGGAACTCGACGACAACGACTGAGATATCAGCCGATCTGGGCGGGGTTGTTGTAGCCGCTACAACAACAACAACAACATACACACGAGCGTTCCGACGACAGTCGGGTCTGCGTAACCGGAACGACCCAGATTTATATCTGGCCAAGGACTGTCACTCCAGCAACACTCCTCAAAAAGTATTTTGGGAATTTGTATGCTGCTACAACAACAACAACAACATACAGACGAGCTATCAACGACATCCATAGAGAGTCAATCACCACCTACCTTAACTCATGACACCAACCATCTCTTCACATGCTAGCTCAATCCGACTCAACTGACACCCCTCTCCCTTTGGTCCGACCCCATTGAAACAGCGCGTTTCCTGGGCCTTCCGTTAGTTGAGCTTGACGACAATGATTGAATGTTGACCTGAAATAGGCGGTGCTTAGTAGTGCACTACAACAACAATAACGTCCGCTACCCATTTTAATTAGCTCCGAAAAAATTGTAAAACATTAAAATCAGTAAAAGGGCTTCACCTCCCATTTTTTCTAACCCTACGAGTCTATTACTTACTTGTTCCTTATTTTATTCTGGTTGCTCTTTATTTCATGTTATTTTATTATTTGTCTTTAATTGTGTTTTTTTTTTTTATTAATTTCTAACCTTAAATTTTGCTGGTTTTAATTCCCTCATTATGGCAACCTCGTAATAGCGCTGAATGGCAGGGCATTCACATGGTGCTGAAAACTGGGATGTCAGCTAAATGTCATTTGCTTTCAACGTGCGCCCAGCGTGAAGGGGGTTTATATCGGTATTATTTTTTTATTTTTTATAAAATTGCTATAAAAAGATACAAATTTTTCTTCGGAATGTAACTTCTGCGAAGGGGGTAATATTAAGCTATTTTTAATATCGCACTTTTAAAAGTGCGTCGCATAGTGCCGAAAGTTTTCTATTCACAACCTACAGACAGCCAGTGTCGTCGGGTATGGAGTCCAAGTATTTGTTGACAAGCAAAACTCCTGTTAAGTCACCACATGGAATTGGTACGAAAAATAATGTCAACATATCAAGTTTTCCGATCAAACGAAAACTACAAAGTCCCGTGAATGGTATTGAAAACGTTATAATAAAAGCACCTAAGTTAAATAATGGGAGCTTAACTTCTACCTCAAATGGGAAATCAACGACCACTATACCCACTCCTAATGGCAGCATGGTGCATCTTAATGGCAAAAGTGCACAATCGAAACAACAATTAGATCAACAACGGCAAACGCTGCCTGTTTATAAGGTACGTCAAAGGCTCATACAGGAGGCGCGACGTGCTGAAACATTGCTGCTGATGGGTGAGACTGGTTCGGGTAAAACCACACAAATCCCACAGTTCCTGTTTGAGAGTGGTTTTACACAAAAGGGTGTAATTGGCATAACTCAACCACGTCGTGTGGCGGCCATTACTGTAGCACGTCGAGTGGCACAAGAGCTAGGTTGTCGTCTGGGCGAAACAGTTGGCTACACAGTACGTTTCGAGGACTGTACCTCGCCCCAAACTCGCATAAAATTCCTAACAGATGGTTGTTTGCTGCGCGAGGCAATTGCTGATCGGCTCTTGCGACACTATTCCGTATTGATATTGGATGAGGCTCATGAACGTACCATAAACACTGATGTACTCTTCGGTATTGTTAAGGAAGCACAGAAGCAACGAAGACAGAGGGGACTTACGCCGCTTAAAGTTATTGTTCAATCAGCTACTATGGATATAGATCACTTTGGAAAGTATTTCGGTGTACGTGGCATGTACCTTGAGGGTAAGACATACCCGATAACAGTCATGCACGCAAAGGAGAACCAACCTGACTATTTGCATGCTGCGCTGGTGACGCTGTTTCAACTGCACCGTACAGATCCTATAAAGTAATGGGTATTAGTGAATTTCATAAAAAAAATATACTTAATCGCACTTTGAAATTTTTTAGTCATGATGTGCTTATATTCCTAACTGGACAAGAAGAAATAGAAGCTATGGCCCACCAAATACGGCAAATTGCCAAGGTTAGTAATATTTATTTAAAAAAAAACTTCCTCAAAATAACGTCTAAAACCTACTTACAGAATCACGATGCTGAATTGAGTCCAGTACGCGTATATCCGCTTTATGCACAGTTACCGCAAAACAAACAACTTGAGTGCTTTCTGCCTGCTCCCGGGAATGCTCGTAAAATAGTTCTAGCCACCAATATCGCAGAGACTTCAGTAACCATACCCGGCATAAGATGTGTAATCGACTGTGGCTTTGTTAAACGTCGTGTTTATAACCCTAGCAGCGGTTTGGATGCGCTACGAATTGTGCGTATCTCACAAGCTCAAGCATGGCAACGCTGCGGCCGAGCTGGTCGTGATGCACCTGGTACTTGCTACCGCACTTACACTCAAGCAGAAATGGAGTCATTTGAAAATATGCCCAAGCCGGAAATATTGCGTAGTAACATTTGCTCCACTGCTCTTCAACTACTAGCGTTGGGTATCGATTGTTGCACATTTGATTTCCTTGATCGCCCCACGACGGAAGCTGTGGACGATGCTTATCGCAAGTTGGAAGCACTCGGTGCCGCGAGAAACACTAAAATTAAGCCCGAGCTTACTACATTGGGTCAGCAAATGTCACAATTCCCACTTGATCCTCGTTACAGCAAGTTGCTGTTATCTGCATCTTCATTCGGGTGCATGGAAGAAATGCTAAGCCTAGTCGCTGTGTTGTCAGGAGAGAATGTATTTGTGTCTAGCAATGAAAAGCGTGAACTAGCCACATTGGCGCATGCGAAATTTACCTCGAAACATGGCGATCATCTAACGCTGCTCAATGTCTTCAGCGCATTTCTAAAGACAGAAAAAGTTAAGGTAATGTGACAACATTTTTATAAGTTGTTCATCAACATTAAAATATATATATTTTATATTTAGCTCTGGTGCCATGACAATTTTTTAAACACAAGAAATCTATCATATGCGCGCGAAGTGCGCAAACAGCTACATGAAATTGCCGAACGCCTCGATTTGCCATTGAACAGCTGTGGCAATAATCAAGATCAAGTACGTAAGTGCCTCTTGATCGGACTTTTTGATAACATCGCTGAACTGCAGCGTGACAATACCTACCTTACAATAGCTGGACGTCAGCGTGCGAGAATACACCCGTCCAGTGTCTTCCATGGCAAATATAGACCGGAATATGTTATATTTACAGAGATTGTGTTGACCGAACGCAATTTTCTGCGTCAAGTCACTGAAATCAACCCAGATTGGATATCTGATGTGCTGCCTAACTATGCGCATTTAAATAGAATTAAAAGCACATTGAAATAACATTGATTGCATAGCTGCCTAAAGATTAATTTACATTATTTTATATAGTAAAAAATAAGTTAATTAGCTCTGAACGTACAACTTGGCTGAGTTCCAAGTTGCATCAAAGCAAAGCTTGAGCCTCTTATTGCTATTCCATAACCAATGGAAATGTCCAATATCCGCAACCACGTTTAAACGCTGAATTGGAACTTAGTTGCGCAAATTGGCCATTTACATCAATAATATTTTAAAAGTAAAAGAGGCTAATTAATGCTTTGCATTAATGCTACTTGGAACTCAGCCGTGCTAAGCATATGTAATGAGAAGAAAAAAAAAAAGGATGTTGTAATTACTTAGTTCAATGTAATATAGTTAATTTTAAATTATCGAGTAGTATGCAAAGTCGTTCATTTTAACATTTGCCAAGATTCGTATATTGCTTAAAATTTTAAATAGTACCGATTTCACCATGTCGATGCATTTATTATTTTTACTACCCTTTTAGTTTAACATTATGCTGAATATTTTGAAAAATGTCTTAAGATGATTGCGATACTTTTGAATTTTACACAATAACTTGGACCTAAAAAAAATTTTGTATTTTAGTTAGTCGACCAAGGTGACTCATATGCTTGTTTATTCAAACGTGGCCTTGAGCTCTATAAAAATTATTCCAAAACGCGATTGAAGGCCATAAAGATAGGTAAAGCATTAAGTGGATTTCGATAAAATCGTACACTACTGCATTCAATATTTTTTCTCCAAAATTTGCATAAACGTAAAAGCATTCAATTATGGTAATGCTTTACTTCAGGGAATGGGTTTGATTTTTTTAACTGAAGTTTTTGAAAGTATGCTTAAAATAAAATTGCAAGACGAATTGAGAATATTGACAAAAAGATAATGTTACAACATGGTTTTTTCCAAAAAACGCAGTTATTTGATGAAAACATCTTAAAAATTGATAAGAAAATAAAGCATGTAAATATATGCATACACACTTAGTTTTAATCTAGTAATTTTATTAAGTCATTGTCGATTTAAGTTCGTAATTTATAACGGTACACCCAACTCATAAATATTTTCAATGCAATTATATATGTATGTGTAATAGCTTTTTATTTTAAATCTGAAACAACTATTTCCCTTTTCAATAATAACTATGTAGCATAGAGTCTTGTTAGTGTAAGTTGACAATTATTATATACATACGTTATTAAGATTGAGTGTAAATATAGATAAATAGAAATCAAGTATTTACTGCATTGTCTAATTGTAAAAATAAAATTATATAAATACATGCGTACATACTAATTTAATGAAAGTTAAATGAATTTTTACTTTATTAATTCAATATCTCGTTGCTCGTCAGTCTTATAGAACACTAAAAATTATGTATAATTATTTACGACTATCACTAGCCATACCTATCTGAAAAGTGAGTGAATGTAAGTTTTTAAAATATATGTACACTCAATTTATGCTGTATGCGGCTATCAGCAAAAGCAAAATGTTACGTAATGTCACAAATTGAATATTTACAGCTTTATATGATCCATTCACGGTCAACGACTGCGACGAATAGACTTCCGTACCGCTTGGATTAGCCAGAAGTTCGCCAGCCTTTATCGTGATTGGTATATTCGTTCTGGTTGTTGCTATTGTTGTTCCAATAGATGACGACGTTGACTCTGCTGCAAAGATAATATAGTCCATACATATGCACATACATAATACATTACTTAGTATTTACGTTAAAATATTTTAATTTAAGATTTAATTGTTATTTACCTGCTGAACTTGATAAGATATACTGAATAGCGCTACTGCTGTGTTGCTGATAAGGCGCCGAATGCATTATATCTTTTTCATTTAAAGTCAACATTTCCTCACTCGCAATAATCCCATAAATCCATCCCAAATGTGGCCCTACAGTAGTAAAAATAGCTTTAAGCGATTGTTCTTCGTCACAGTTATTCGCCGCATTTTGGTTGGAGGTAGTGGAAATTGTGTGTGAAAATAAGGCAACCAAGTGACTACGGATTATAAGTCCAGTACCGTAGTCAGAGTTGAATGCAGCATAATCGGCGGGAAACTGAAAGTTTTACGAAAATGCATTAAACACACAAATTTATTCACTTAAATTTATCCACTGTTTGTTTGCTATCTATTTTACCTCACAATCTGGCCCAACTGCGTATGTTTGTGGATATAGCGCACAAATGTCTTGTTTGCGTATGATTTCCGTCAACTCATTCGCTTGTATGCATCGCTCATTGGGCAATATTCGAACACGCTCCAGTTGCATGATGTTCGGATCTGTATTTAGAGACTGAAAAATGTAAATTTGTTTGAGATTAAACTAATAACTAACTTGCATTTAAATAAATCTGTCGACAATGACTTGTGAAGTTCCATTGTTTACACTACTATATAGTCATGCTGATAAAAATGATAAATACAAAACATGGGCTTCACTAGTTGTCACGTTGTTTTATAGAACTTTGTAATAATTTTTACTGCGATCGCAAAATTGTTTGTTATTGTTTAGCAAATACTATGCAAATCGCTTGATTTTAACCAGATTTTGATAAAGTTTTTCAATATCAACTTGTGTTACACGTATCGCTTATTTGCTGGAAGAACTTTAGGTGGAAATTATACATTTCGTTAGGTTAGAGTGAAAAGTTGATAAATCCACTTTTTATGAAAATTCATATTTTGATATAGGAAGCAAGAGAATTAAAAATGCATCGTTTCGAAATTGATTAGGGTACTTGTTTTATGTTTTCTCGTTCATAATAAATCAATAGCAAAGTTGCTTAGTCCAAAAAATGTACCAAACATTCAAAACAATACGAAATATTTCAATAAAGATAGAATCCTTCCGATTTGTATGGAGTTTTGCCTCCCCTGTAAAGTTTGTAAAAATGGGCTTAGCAACTTTTCATTCTAACATAGCGGTATGTACATACATACATATGTATTTGAAATGAAAAAAATAAAAAATTAAAATATTTAGCTAAGTATAAGAAAATGCTGATAGGTTTTTTGAGCTAACAGATATCTGCCCACTAAATGTCGCGGTGGGGTTCTGTCGGTGGGGCGTGGTTGTGCAAGAGCAATTTTGCTCCTGTTGTTGTTGTAACAGCATACAGATTACCCAAAGTTTTTGGGGAGTGTTGCTGGAGATATAAATCTGGGTCGTTCCGGTTACGTAGACCCGACTGTCGTAGGAATGTCTATGCGTCATACTGGTAGGAATTTCTTTTAAGTTTGCAGTTGGTTTTTAGGATCTGTCTACGTATGTACATACTAGGGTGTACGATTACACTGTGGAACAAATTCACGTTAGCAAAATGAGGTTAGCAAAATGAGAATTCAGGTTAGCAAAATGAGAATCGTCAATCGATCCAGTAGTGTGTGCAGCGAAACGAGTTGCAACCGATTGCTGTGATCTGTTGCCTGTGTGTGGCTCGCTTAGCGCATAGGTACATAACTGAAAATGTGACTGAGAAAATGTCCCATGGCTAGATGACCTGTGTGAGTGTCTCTGTTCCAGGTTCGAAACATTTAGATACAAACACTGCGAGTGATGAAAAGCATTCACGAATGAAAGTGTATTTAATTAGAGCAAAAACAAAAGACTTAAGCCACGAACCAGAATTCATGTTTCGTGTCAAATTATGGTTTTTCATGTATTTACATACATACATACATAAGTATTAGAACTCTGTGTGAGTTAATTGAAAATTCCACTCAATCCCAGTACATGGCATTGTGTATTCTATTCTATATTTACCATAGACCAGGTATTCACAATACGCCAAATCTTGAAAAAGACCCGCGAGAAAAGGATCGACACTCATCACCTATTTGTCGACTTTAAAGCCGCTTTCGACAGCACTAAAAGGAGTTGTCTATACGCCGCTATGTCTGAATTTGGCATCTCCTCAAAACTCATATAGCTGCGTAAAATGACGTTGAGCAATACCACCAGCTGCGTCAGAATTGGGAAAGACCTCTCCGAGCCGTTCGCCACCAAACGGGGTTTCAGACAGGGCGACTACCTTTCATGTCACTTCTTTAATCTGATGTTGGAGAAGATAATAAGAACTGCAGAACTGAACCGCTCAGGAACAATTTACTACAAGAGCGTGCAATTGCTGGCTTATGCCGATGACATCGACATCATCGGTAACAAAAACCGCGAAGTCTGTTCTGCCTTTTCCAAGTTGGATAGGGAAGCAAAGCGCATGGGTCTGGTGGTAAACGAGGACAAGACGAAGTATCTCCTGTCATCAAACAAACAGTCAGCACATTCGCGCCTTGGCACCCACGTCACTGTTGACAGTTACAATTTCGAGAAAGTAGAGAATTTCGTTTACTTGGGAACCAGCATTAACACCGATAATAATGTCAGCATTGAAATCCAACGTAGAATCACTCTTGCCAACAAGTGCTACTTTGGACTGAGTAGGCAATTCAGGAGTAAAGTCCTCTCTCGACGTACGAAAACCACGCTCTATAAGTCACTCATCATGCCCGTGCTGGTATATGGCGCAGAAGCATGGACAATGACAACATCCGATGAGGCGGCTCTTGGAGTGTTTGAGAGAAAGTTTTTGCGGAAAATTTACGGGCCTTTACGCATTGGCGACGGCGAGTACCGCAGACCATGGAACGATGAGCTGTGTGAGCTTTACAACGACATGGACATAATGCAGCGAATTAAAATACAGCGAAGCTGCAGACTTGACAATGTCGTTCGAATGGACACCGGCGCANCCGCGAGAAAAGGATCGACACTCATCACCTATTTGTCGACTTTAAAGCCGCTTTCGACAGCACTAAAAGGAGTTGTCTATACGCCGCTATGTCTGAATTTGGCATCTCCTCAAAACTCATATAGCTGCGTAAAATGACGTTGAGCAATACCACCAGCTGCGTCAGAATTGGGAAAGACCTCTCCGAGCCGTTCGCCACCAAACGGGGTTTCAGACAGGGCGACTACCTTTCATGTCNCGTTCGAATGGACACCGGCGCACCAGCTCGGAAAGTATTCAACTCGGAACCCGCTGGTGGTAGCAGAGGAAGAAGGAGGCCCTCACTGCGATGGGAAGATCAGGTGGAGAAGGACTTGGCTTCACCTGGCGTTTCCAATTGGCGTCAGTTGGCACAGAGGAGAAATGACTGGCGTGCTTTGCTGAACTCGGCCAAAATCGCTTAGACGGTTACAGCGCCAAAAAGTAAGAAGAAGAAGAACAATGCTATCCCACCGTTATGGATACCAAGGTACATGGGGGTCGAGAAAAATGAGGAAGCCTAGCAGTGGCATCGACCCCGATAGGACCTGAGCCCTTCATTGCTATGGGTCCTAACATGATAAAGGAAGCGCTCAGAAAGGAGAATATTGAACTTTGGGAACTTCATAGGAAAAACACTATGGGTCTTCGTCGAGCTAACTAGGGGTCACAATATTAAGAGATACAGGCTGCTAAAAAATATCACCAAGGAGATGCTAAGAATTATTATAAGTATATTGACAGGTTATAAAAGGCTAAGGGACCTGGTCAAGCAACGTATGTCGCTTTTGTGATTTCGCTAAACCGACATCATTGAAATTCGTCCTGGAGTGTGTGGCCGTTTTACAGAGATCTATTTACAGGTCTTGTGATGAGTTATGAGGGCACATAAAACTTAATGTTGCCGTGGAAATTTTTCAAAATATATAATTCCACATATCTACTATTTATGGCTGCAATACCAACAATGTAAACGATTTTTTTAGAGTAAGTATTTTGAATTGTAGAGAAATAAACTGTGCACAATTCGATTCTTTTACGAAATTTCGGAAGAAAATCCATAAAGCAATGAAATAAATGCTGCTATGTAGGGCTATGCGATTAATTGATTATTTAAAATTTGAATTAATCATAAAGTAAATAACTCAATTATTCGATTAATTGGAAATTATGATTACTCAAAAGTTCAGTTACTCGAGTAATCGAGATTTTTGATTAACCAAAAACAAAAATATTTGGGTAATTTGCTTTATGATTAATCAACATTATGAGTAAAATGAATAATCAACATTTCAAAGTACTCTTTACATATACGCTGCCGAAACAAAGTATTGGCACAGCAAATTTTTCACAATATATGCAACAATTTTTATTCTAATATTTTTCCGCCAATTTTGTATAAAAATATGGTTCATTCAACAACAAAAACATAAAAATATGATTCATAAAATTTGTGCAAAGCTCGCGAAAATTAAGAAAATTTTAATCAAAATTTTCAACTTTTTAATCAGATTTTTTAGAATTTTTTTGAGTATGCAGTTTTGCAGCCCATTAAATTCTTGTAAAAAATGCAAGTTCGGAGTTAGTAAAAAATCGCATTGATTTTTGAGAATTTTTTTTGTTGAAGGTGTTTGCATTTTTTCCATACAAAGTATTTAAAAAAAAAAAATTTTGTATGGAAGAGACTAGGTGTACCAAAATTGCCAAAAATCGACGGTAATTCCTAGCTACTTAAAACTTTCAATTTATTATATATAATAAAATTGATTGGGCTACAAATCTGCATACCCAATAAATTCTAAAAAATCTGATTAAAAAGTTGAAAATTTTCATGAAAATTTGCTGAATTTTCGCGAGTTTTGCACAAAGTTTAGGAATTATATTTTTATGTTTTTTGTTGTATAATAACCGTATTTTTATACGAAACTAGCGGAAAAATATTAGAATGAAAATTGTTGCATATATTGTGAAAAATTTGCTGTGCCAATACTTTGTTCCGGCAGTGTAAATTAGTTGAAGTTCCTTGATACTTTGAAAGCAACGTTTCTGTTTTAAAAATTGAAACGAAAGTTTTTTTTCATATACAAAAGAAAAGAGGCATTTTCCAAAGCAAACTCTTTTAACGAGCAAAATTAATTTTTTTGAGTAATCATATTTCAAGTAACCCGATTAAGCATCGTTTTGAGTAATCAAAATCTTGATTACTCGGGTAATTGATTAACCGAATAACAGATTAACCAACCTGCTAGGGAAATTTATTTTCGTAGAAAAATTTCTTTACGAGTTCGCGTCAACCACGTCATATAATTTTCTTTGAAGAATCACAAAAAAAAAAAAAAATCGTTACAGAAATGAGATACTCCTAAAGCTTACCTTAAGATTTCGGGAACTTTGGTCTTGCAGGTAAAGTATTCCCTTATTGAAATTACTCTCACAGAGTTCATATGGCAATTCTTTCGTTACGTTCTGGGATACCGAGAGGCAGGATTTCTCGAAGCCATGTAATACGAATAAGGCAGATATTTAGAGAAAGGCTTTGTCGATTTGGTGGTCCAACTGCTGTGTTTGCCCTAACCTAACATAACTTAACCTAATCTCAACACGTGTTTGTTACTCACCGGAAATGCAGCCATATACAATCCTTTCGTCTCATACTCATAATCATCCTGTATGATCCATTGAACGTCATCGCGTTGACCCAACGGCAATGCCGTATCCAACCGTAGCAACGCCAAATTATTCGCCAATGTGGTGCTATTGAAACCATTCGCAATATTAATCTCTAACACATTGAAGGTATTCATCACATTATAAGTCCCCGCAGCACCTGGCACAACACTAATCTTATCCGTTGGTATAGGCACCAGCGATGTACTACTCGCTGCAATCACAGACGACTGATAGAAGGTACAACTGGCGGTGGTTAACACCAAATGACTCTGCACAATTACACCATTACAATAGTGTATCGGCGGTGCGCGCGGATGTAGTGATACATAGAGCGATACCTGATAAGGTGGCTGAGATGAGCTACATGCGCCGATATAGCTGATCAGTAGTAATCCAATTGTATGGAGGTACAGTTTCGTTTTATGTTTTGGGGTGAACATTTTTGTTCTGTATTTTGTTATTTTTCGAATATAATTTCACCACTGCTAAAATTTTTTTTTTTTATCTTTGCTAAATACCCGTATTCAATGAACTTGGTTGTGAACTTTTCTCTTGGCGATCTTGTCGTTGCAACGTTTAATAACTTATTAAGATGCCCACGGCGGCAACAAGCGTTGATATACATACGCTCAAGGCGAGAAAGGTAATCAAATGGCGCAGAATTCGCTGGAATTGTTTGCTCATATGGCTACCAGACGCAAGATGGCTATAAGGTAGCTATTTTGTTGATCAGAAGTTCATCGTATTTTCAAGTTCTCTCTTATCACGGCGAATAAATATTTGCATACATAATATTCGCTAAATACATACATAGTACGTATATGGCAACTTGTGGCTTACATATCAACACACAAATACAATTTATGCACCTATGCAGTAAAGTTTTACTCTAACTGTCCACTAGATCGTGTGATAACTTAATCTTTATATCAATAGTTGGTTTGCGAATTTCTACGAATATTTCAAATTAGTTTAGTTTCAGCATCTGCAAAAGCAAATTTATCTTAGTTGGCATTATCAAAGTGTTAAGATAATGAAACTAACAACTGCTTAAAACAATAATTTACCCTAATATGGGCGTAAATATAATAAAACATATGCATATATAGTAGGGTGAGCCAAAAATTGGCCTGACGAATTTATGGCCTTAAAATGACCTATTTACTGAGAAGAAAATTTTCCCATTTGGAAAAATTTTTCTTCCAATTTTAAAATTTCATGTAACAAATTTTTTTCTTTGAAAAATTTTATAACTATTTAACCGTTTACGAGACATATTTTTTCTAGGCATACTCTTGTAGGGCATTATAATAATAATAACAATAATAATAATAATATAGGACATTAAACTCTCTAAAAAATTAACCTGAAGTTGGTTGTCTTAGAGACGATTAAGAGTATTAAATATGGTAATGATATTGCTGAACGAGGTATAGCATTGATACAAAATTATAAGCAAAACTTTGACGAAAGACGAAGAACAAAAGCAATTAATTTTGCCAGTAGTACAATTGCATCGCCAACAATATCCTAATTGCAATAAAGTGAATTTTATTAATAAATAAAAAGAATATTAATTTTTAAAACTTGAAAAAAACTAGATATCAACATATTAAACACATTTTGTATNGAGTACTCTTTACACGCATGCATGGAGTAGTCGCGATTTTTGCAGGGATTTTAGTTTTTTCATTTAGCATGTATATTTCCAATAATAAAGCCCATACACTGTATATTTCTGCTTTTTATTGACCTTATTGGCTATGATAAGTACGAGTAAGCACAATCAACTTCAAGGTAATTTTTTAGAGTCCGACCGATTCCAATTTTTTTCAGGTACCGATGCCGAGGCTTACGGGAAAAGAATCGGCCGATGCCGATGCCGATTCCATAAAAAATTACAAATAAACGTATTAATTCATAAAATCAGTTCATTTCACGGAGTTAAAAAAAACAAAAGAAAAGAAAAAATTGAATTAATTGGCTTGTTATGCAACATTACATACACATGTATGTACATACATACATATGTATGTGTAAAAATATATGTACATATATCACATTTATGTACATTACATAAAACACTTTTTATATGGTGCTAAGCAAAAAATATTTAGGAACATAAAATTTCATTTCGTTTTGTATTTAAATCAGGGTACGAAAATAAACTGTACAAAACAATTCCCATTTGCTCATCGATCATCATATCATTTGTGGTTTTGTACAGTTTTGTAAATAGTCAGAAACAAATTGTAAGATTCACTGTCATTTTCCCCAACGAGAAACGTTTGCTTTTCGTTTGTGACAATTGTACCATAGGGTACGTTTTATATGTATGCAAACGTTTCAATTACGTGAAAAATAATTTTTTCTGTAAATTTTCATATCCAATTCAATTAAAAAACATTTTTATTTTTTTTATTCATTGCCGCCATTCGTTTTCTATTTGTTTATTGCATATATGTGCATACATAAATATATTTTCCCTGCACGATTCATTTCGTTTGTTGTTTCGTCTGTAACTACTAAACTACTGTAGTGTACTATCGCCAAAGTGAACTCAGCCGTTTTGTTTCGTATTGTACCGAACTGTTAAAGTAATAAACGAAACGAAATAGTAACGTACAATATAGTTTATTTTCGTACACTGACTAAAATACACTCTTTTGCACTCAATGCATAAGAACTTATATGCTAGGTATGTATGTACATACATACATATAGTGGTCCACAAAATAAAAGAATTGCGATATTTTTACCGATTTTGTCTTTTTTATTTAATGTTTAATATTTTTTTTATATAAGTCTAGCTGGTTTACAACAAAAAACATATAAATTCAGATTTCAAACTTTGACCAAAAATTAGAAAAATTCTGCTTATTTTCACCAAAATTTCAAACATTTTAATCAGAATTTTGGTATGCAGTTTTGTAGACCATTTAATTCTAGTATAATGAGGTGCAAGTTTCAAGTTGCTATAAGATCCCGTTAATTTTTGACAATTTTTTTTGCTGGCAGTGTTCTTCATATGAAAGAAAATTGTCGCACATACTTTTGTATGGAAAAAACCTGAAATACCTTCAACAAAAAAAACTAATTTTTGTGAGCTGTCTGCAAATGTTTTTTAAAGTTGGCTGTCGCTTCACCTGAACATTTGAAAAGAAATTCCAAAGAATCGGCTAAAAAAGGCCGATGCCGATGCCGATGCTCAATTTTGTGCCGATACTAGCCGATGCCGATTAATCGGTCGGACTCTATAATTTTTTAGAGATTTTAATGCGCTACAAGAATATGCCTAAAACAAATTATTTCAAAAGTTCAATGGTTATAACATCTTAATGAAATAAATATTACATTTTATTTAAATGGAATATTACAAATGCCCACCAACGCCTTTTTAAAAATTATTTCCTTTTAAGGCCAATCATTATATGGCTTACCCTATGTTAGGTTAGGTTAGGTTATCCTGGCTGCCCTGTTAAGTTAAGCCAGACATTCAAAAGAATAGCGGCGCAGCGAGCGTCGACGAGCCCTTGACAAAGCGGGTCAGTGGCATAGGTAATACTCCACACTTTCGATTTCCTCCTTATCGCGGAAGCCACGACAGTAATCGTTTGGCTGCAAACCTATCCTGGCAGCGTGGGTTCCCATAAGGCAGTGCCCGGTGAGAACTCCAATAACATGACGGAGCGATGGTCGCTCCAAACGGAAGAGAGGACGAGATCTACGCTTATCTAACCTAGGCCAGATGTGTCTTGCTATCCTGCACGTGGGCTCCGCATTACGAGCGGTACTGATCGCAGACAGTTGAGCTCCTTTCCGGGCCAACTCGTCTGCAACACAGTTGCCCGGTATGTCCCTATGACCTGGCACCCATACAACTTGAGTAGAATAACTCCTTGCCAGCTCATTAAGAGTACGTCTACATTCTATGACAATCTTCGATGCAGATTTGTCGGAATAAAGTGCTTTGGTAGGTGCCTGGCTATCATAAAAGATAGTTACTGCATGTAGATTCATAGGAGAATCGATCAGCCATCCAGCAGCTTCGTAGATTGCTGGTAGCTCAGCCTAAAAAGCGCTACAGAAATCTGGCAGACGAAAACTGAGGCTAAGTGAGAGATCTTGCGAGTATATCCCACTTCCTACCTTCAGATCTGGCTTGAAGCCATCTGTGTATTGGCTTACCCTAATATATAGTACTTACATTCTAAGATACATGTACATATGTACATATGCACATTAGACCGTATATGAAAAATATTTCACCCTACAACTCTGAGCCTTTAGGTTGCAAAGCAATCTTGAAAATATTTTTTTTTTTTTAATTTTTCGTCATATTTTCGGTTTTTACAGTCGGCTTTTAAATTGTATTTAGGGGACTCTCTTAGGCGCGAAGAGTAGAAACCTTTCGATTTTAAGGGAATCCCCTATATATATCGATGTTCTTGTCTCGTGTAGACAATTTTTTTGTTCTAAAGTTCTAGTACTTACCTACCAGATCCCAGTTCCTGTCAACCTAACGTACCAATCTTTATCTTTATCTTTATCTTTATCTTTATCTTTATCTTTATCTTTATCTTTATCTTTATCTTTATCTTTATCTTTATCTTTATCTTTATCTTTACCTTTATCGAAATTGCCTTGCACAAGTACTTTACCCCCTGGATGTTGCGCTGCTTTTTGTTTGCTTATAATGTTGTACGGCCTAATGCACATAATGTACTTTTGCATGCACATCCAAAATTTGTTTGAAAATTCCTCAACACTGATGTCACATAAAATAAATATTTGAATTAATTAAATAATAAACATTTCTACTACTCTTACAAAATATTTTCGTAGAAATTCATATCTCCAACATCCGAAATAAATAACAAACGTTCTTTGAAGTACCGTGATTCGTAGTAGAAACAAGTAACTTTTAGCAAAAAAAAAACCGACTTAAAAAAAATATATATATATCTATATATTTCATGATCCAATGATCGGATCTAAACCAAATTAGTATGGGACCACCTCTGAGACACTACCTTTCCGTTTCAAAAAAGAAGAATTATTGCAATCGGTTGACGTGGTGCAAAGTTATGCGGTAACATACATAAAAAAAAAAAAAAAAAAATATTCCGACGAACTTATAACCTCTTCCTTTTTTGGAAGTCGGTTAATAACTAGTCAACGCACACATTTATCAAAGCAGTGAGGTGACAAATCGAGAGAAAGCTGTGTTGGATAAATGGGATTACCAGTTACCCTAATTAGGAAAGAAATATTTTCATTCTTAGCGAATTACGAAACTTTTATGTGAAGCAGTATGGGGTGTGACAATGGTGTGGCCTGCGGAACTCTCCGTCTATTCGGCTTGGGCTAAGAGCTGAGGTCCGGGAGGTACATCCTAGTGGGAATCCCAGGAAGACTTTAGTAATTTTCTCAGTATGAATTTGCCTAGGCAAGAAAACGGCCGCTCCACAGTGGTTCAAAATTGGCATTTTGTGTTCACTGAAGCTTTAATTTTTCACTCAATTTGATAATTTTTCTTTTTTAATGAAAGCTAAAAAAGTCGCACGAGACCAGTTGAGCCCGGTTTTTGAAATTTTTGTTTGTTTGTATTAAACTTGTAAGTGCAAAGTGTAAAGGCAAATAACCCAAAAAGGTCGGTTCCATGTTTAACAGATTGACCCGGAATACCAATTTCGACCAAAGGCCATCACCACAATGGCTCCTTCCAAAATGACAATAAGGCAAAAAACCGAATAAACCTATCAGAATGCTATCAAGGAAGTCGTCTTCTTCATATTTGGCTTTACCACCCTTCGCTGGTTTGGGCCGAGACCAAAAAACTTCTTTCCTTTGCAAAGTTGCTCCAGTTGTACATCCTACAGCCCGAGCGCAGACAGGTCCTTCTGCACTTGCTCCTTCAATTGCGTTCATGGGCGGCCTTCCTTTCGTTGTCCAGCCATGCGTGCAGCCTCGTCATAAATGTGTACAACTTCCCCAAGCCAGCGCAATCGTTATAGTTTTGTGCATGTAGCTTGTCTTTAAAATGTTCACACAGTTCCCCACACCTAAGAAGAAGCCTTAGGTACCCGTCCCCCACGCGAACAAGTCCATAGATTTTGTATAAAATTGTTCTCTCGAAGGCCCCAAAGATCTTTTGGATTTTGTATTGTTTGTTCCTATCTTTTTAAGTACTCTAAAATATATGTTCCATTTACTCATGTACACATGTGAAGAGGATTTCTGCTGGTATATTTGCAGTGCCTTAGTACATACTTCTGTACATGAATTTACTTGCTTTTTATTGCGGTTTGGATGTGTTTGTGAAAATAAATATGTGTTAGTTACACCGACATGACTCCTGGCATGACTCTGAATGATTCAGCCGTGTGTAGTCGAAGGCGAGTCAACACGTACACAAATGACTCGCGAGTCAGACGCAACATGTATGCCGCCTATTAAACATATCGCTCATTTACTTCAATAGTGCCATAACTAAAAAAAAAAAAAAACTGTACAAAAACGGCTTTAATGTTTTGAATTTACATATCGTTGTCTTATTTGACAAAGGCCCTAACCAACACTTTTTTCGAAACTGCGTTTTTCACAGGTTTTGGTACAATGTATTAAAATATACCTTCGCTTAAAGTTTCAAAGTGATAGTACCAAAAACAACGGAGTTAATGCCACTTTTTAAAAAGCCCTACCTGGTTTTGATACTATTTTTATAATAGTTTTTGCTTCTCGAATGTATATTTATACATGTTTATGTAGTTTATTTCAGAAAGTATCCTATGTATCCTATTGCAGTATTTTGCATAGGTAAAATATTATTCTATTTACCGAAAATGTTTGAGGGTTCGTATATACATATGTACATATGTATGTAGATATGTATGTGTAAATAAATCTACATACTATGCATATGTACTTCAGCCAACAAGGCCCTAAACAGGTAACCACAGGTATATACATACATACATAAAACAATTATTTTCAAGAGCCTTGAACAGGTACGAGTGTGGCAGTACAAATCGCCTGAATTTAGTATTGAGCTGTTAGTCAATGAAGTTTGTTCGAATATAGACATTCATACATACTTATAAAACAGCCATGTCGGTATTCACTTTTAAATATCTTTTTTTGATAGTAACGCTCTTTAAAGCTCAACTAATCTCGACTGCACCGAATGTGGTTAATCAAAAACAACAAGCAAATTTAAGGTAGATACTTTCATCACAGCAAATTACCGTTTAACTTAGTGCAGCATTTTTAATGAAGTTTCATCTTTAAACAGCATAACTGAGGACTATAAGACGCTACGTGATGATGCCCAATGGCTTTTCCAGCATATTGAACTTATTGCCGATTCTTTAGTGCAAATTTTACCCGCAGTAAATCGGGAAAGTGGAAGATCCTTGCAAGGAACAGTTAATAACGCGTAAGTAACATAAATTCGATGCACTACTGCAAAGTAACAAACAATTTGATATGAATTTTATTATAAACAAGAAATATTTTACAAAACAGTTTAAATTTTGTATGAATAAGGCCATTAATGTTTTACCCCTACTGATTTATGTATATTTCAAAGGAAGAAAGTTGAGTAAAAACAATAAATTATGCTATGAAAACTATTTTTGTTGTTCACATCTTCCCGTTGTTGGTTACTTAGTTAAAAATTACTACTCTTCCGAATATTTTGTGGTTCGAAACTGAATAAAACATATAACCTCATGAACTATTGCCCGGCAACCAGCAACAGCACAATGTTTTTTAACATAAAATAATAAAAAAAAAACAGCCTTATCATGAGTTTCATTTTCCCCGAACCGGTTCACTTTTCACAAATACAAATTTTCGGGTGAATTTGTTTTCAGACGAAACTCAGGATAAGGCAGAATATTTTTTCATAAGCTTATAAATGCAGTTTTTCAGTCTAGATGCAAATTTGACTAGACTTCAATCAAAACCAAACTTAAAACTCTTACTCTTTTACTTCACTGAAAATTTAGAACCAAGCTTAAGCGATGATTCCGAATTGAATTAAATTGAAGAAACTTAAAATTAAAGCCGTTATTAAATAAACAAACTATAATTTGTTACCACAGCACTTTGGTTGAAAACACGCGCCTCACATTACTCCTGGGACTTCGTCATGTACTCGTAGGCATTAAAGAAATTGCAGTTTCCTTTCAACGTCGCTTATCGGGTGATCACGAGCAGCAGTTGATACACATGTAAGCTTGTTGTTAAATTTATTAAATATGTACATACATTTATTACATAGGTGCATATGTACATACACATGTATTCTTACAGTAGAACCGTTTTTTACTTTTTCTTGTAACAGCAAAATGGTCACCCAGCTAATTCAGGATATTCTTCGATTTGCTAAACATTTATTTTCGATGCTGCGAAACAGTCTTTCCGAAATTTTCCGCATTTACAACCGCTATATACCCGAGGTGCTGCTCGGGAAATGCTTTAGCAAATACATTACAACAGCATATCCAGATCGCAATATTTACGAATATCCCTTTATTCTTACCGGTGAGGTGATCGATTTCGCAATAGCATATCTACAGAATTTACCAATATATGATGCGGCGAATCAAAGCCCAATTTCGAAATTAGAGACAGCAGATATTTCGGATGAACAAAACGAAATTTGGCCCAACGAAATGGATAAATATTCCAGAAGTCTTGATCTACCAGTGGACCGCAATGGTCGGCAAACTAGCACAGAGAGCAGTCCACATCCGTGGCAGAAATGTTTAAAAATGTATGCAGCGGATACTATTTCAAGGCAGTTGAAATTATTTTTCATTGGAGATTAATCTACGAACACATGTACTACTTAAGCAATTATTTTCTATTATCATCTAACGAAAATATGTAGCTAAATTTATACCTATCCCTTATCACCAATATTTCTTCATTAACGTAAAACAAATGCATTAAGTGTTTGAGGAATATTTATTCTAACTGCGTATTCTATTCGTTTTTTTTTCTTAGTTAATATAAATTTTTGTTTGCAAATATTTCACGCGCTAGATTGAAAGTTAAAATACTTTCAGTGGCTTATCGTTCACACATTTATGCTATTTTCTTAAAAACTTTTTATTTGAATAAAAAATAAGACTTACATAGAAAATCTCACAACTGCAAACGCATGAAAACATTAACTTGGCCCATTTTAGCTTCCACAAAAGCTGCTGCAGCTTAATTTGTTTGTGTGCTGGTGGAGAATAATGCCAAGACACCACTGGCCAAGCCAATTGAGAAGATGTAATTTACCAGAGGCGACGAATTTTTCAAAATGAAAAAGCTAATGAAGATTATGATTGCCAAGAAGAGCGCGTTATTATAGAAAATTGAGAAAGTGGTTGCTTCGTAGTCAGCTACTTCATTCTTCTTCCACAAGATGCGTTCATCCTTTTCCTTGCGTGTAACTTTCTTGTCATCACCAATTTGACGGTTTATTTCGCGGGTTACAGCATCTTCGCGACGGCTAGCGATTTTGTGCTTCAATTGGAATTTTATGTTCCGATATGCCATGGCCATCAGATAAGTACTGGCCCCTGTTAGCAGCACAAAGAAAAATGCACTGGACAATAGATCCATGTTGTGCACACGCCAAAAGAGCCCTAAATATTTAAATTACAAGGTGTTAATAGTCATTGAAGTAATATACTATGTATGTAGCTGTGGCCAGAAGCGACCGGCTACGTGTCACCACACTCACAAATTGGTATCGCCGAAACGATGAAAGCATTGCCGTAGAATAAAGCGGATGATTTGGTGCTCACATTACGGCTAAAATCTTGTAATAGCAGTTCCTCTTCCTTGGTGAAGCCAGAAGATTGCACTTTTTGTTGCTTTCCTGATCCCATTTTATTATTGTTCAAGCACGATAATTTCCAAGTTGTTCGTACACAAAATTGTTGGAGCAAATAAACCAAGTAAACTCCTAATTGGAGAAGTGAAAGTAGTGTAATGGACGAAGCAACCACGAAGTTTCTGTGACGTGTAAACTGTCAACGATAAATTGACAACTTGTCACTGGTGCGACATCTGTGAATGATACTTCGCTATACAGTAAAACCAAACAGCGCGAATCTATGCGAAGGGCAATAACAAGGCGCCTTGGAAAAAACCATGAACGAAAGACACAAGATCACGTAAGAACAAGAGAGTGAAAAAAGTCGATTTTTTTAGCGGGTTCTACGACATCTTGTTTCACTGGAAAACGAGCGAAAAGTAAACAAAGCAAAGAAAACAACGAAAACCAAAACTAGCCAAAATTATTGTCAGCCACTTTAAACGCACAATTTAGGTAAAATGATGCAACAAAATGCTTTTAAATGTGTTGTCATGTTGAATTCACTCTTCTTTACCTGAATAAAAGTGTAAAATAGTGGTGCTTGTGATGTAAACAAACGCTCAGCTGACGTACCCGCTTTCGCAAACTTTTTTCTCAAAGCCAGTTACAAATACGTTAGTTATGTGATCTTGTATTTTTGGTTCATGGGAAACACGTTACCAAATAATGTAAATCGACGTTCTTTGACGCCATGATGCAATAATACAAGGTGGTCATGAACCAATTAGAACAGATCTGACCGGTTGAGAAGCAGCCATTTGTAATAGCAATTGAGAAAAAAGTGTGTGACATTCGTAATTTTGAAGCTTGCTATTTCTGTTCTGACTCTTTCTTTATGTATATTTTGCCGGTGGTTTATTTCAGTGATTTTTATGCGATTTTCAATAAATTTTTTGTGCAAATGTAAACTAAATGTTGTGCGCGGTGCTTGGTTGCAAAAACACTTACAAAAATAATAAATTGGTTAGCACAGACTTGTGCTACAAAATTGCTTGCATTTTTTTCTTTATGCTTCGTCTACATATTCTTTGTTAACTTTTCAAAGAAAATAATATGGCGCCGAAATTACAAACGTCAGCCAGAAAACTACCTATTTCTTTTGCTTCATCTTGTCAGATCTTGTGTAGTTGGATCATGACAAGGTGATATCAGTTGTGACAGCTCGATTTGACACTGCGGGTAGAAATTAATCCCCATTTGGGGGGGCGGGGGTTGGGGGGGAGAAAATATAAAAATTCATATTTTCTTTTTAGTAAACTTTGGTAACTATCGAATACTGTTTGAATGAATTTGAAAAAAAGGATAATCGTATCGAAATTGCGCTGGTAATTTTAAATACTTATGTATGTACTATATTGTATAAGTCCCCTTTCAGACACGTCAAGTCTTGCTTTCAAGTCTGCTCGTTCGTTGGTGAAGGAGGTGGGAAGAGAGGGGAAGAGTACAGATACCTCCGTACCGTCAATTCCTTTCAAGTTTTCTTGTCCTCTTTTGATCTTTTCGTTGCCTCCCATTTAAAGATCCGAGAACTTGAATTCAATATAACTTGACGCGTGTGGAAGCAAAGAGAAAACACAAAAGAGAATGCGATAAAAATTGCTTTCAAGACTTGACGTGTCTGAAAGGGGACTAAGAGAAAAAGCTAAAAAATCCGTAAAAAACTTTCTCTAGAAAAATGGGTAATAGAGAGCGAATACGTCCCAATTTTGGACCGTAAATGTTTTCTTCTTTGTGCACGAAACAGCCCGAACTGCTTCCCAATTGCAAAAGGGCAATTTGAAATAACAGCTGTTGTTGTTTAAATCCGAAAGTGAATTTCATAAAACACAAAAGTGAAAAATACCGTAGAATATTCATAAAATGTAGTTATTTGGTAATTTTATTAGCCATATAAGATAAACATATCTAAAATCATTATTTAGATCTAATTTGTTGATTCCGGGCACGAAATTTGTTTTTTTGCGTTCCTCACGCTCTGGGCACTTTTGGCACATGTTGACACATTTTTGACACTTTTGAGGGAGTATCTTATTTTTACGCTCCAATGACCGGGGCAGCCCGGAAAGCGTGTAGAACAAAGCTAATTTCTCATTTCTTGCCGCTAAATGGACTTCGAAAGAGTCAGATTTGACGGGAAAAGAGCTAAACTGGCAGCCCTGCTTGGGATAGTGATAACTCATAACATGCATCACCCTGTGCTAGAGCCGCACGATCAAAGTCCGTTTTCGTAATTATAAGTCGAAATTTAATTTTCAAAATTTTCAGGGCTAATACATTTTCTTTTAACGGAAGTGAATGCTCAATATACAAAATGTGGAGTTTTCATGTCTAATGTTAACATATATGTATGTATATCCTAAACTAAATACCATTAAGAAAATTAGCAAAATAAAATCTATGTTATAAATCGATAAATGGTGTTCGATTTCTTCTTATCTCTAAAGTGCACATCTTCATTTAAGAAAAATTTATTCCCAAAAAATATTTCTAAAACAACTGCAAGATCATGTATATCCTCCGCACTTCGCGTTTTGCTGCTTCCACATCAGCTCCGAGACAGTTTCTGTCCGCTCTGCGATCTATGTCTTCCGTGGATGCTCAATACACAAAACTTGAGGTTAACGAAAAAACTGGCATTGCTACATTGACTTTGAACCGGCCACCGGTGAACAGCCTCAATTTGGAGCTGTTAACTGATATACGCAATTGTATAAAAGATGCTGAGAGCAACAAGTGCAAGGGGCTCATACTGACATCTGTAATTAAATGATTTGAAACTTTACATACGTTTGTATGTATATATGTATGTACCTGGATATATTAAATATTTTTCTTCAGTCTTCAAATAGTGTATTTAGTGCAGGCCTGGATATCTTGGAAATGTACCAGCCCAAAGAAGAACGTCTAAAAAGTTTTTGGACAACACTGCAAAGCACGTGGATGGCATTGTATGGCTCAAAACTACCAACTGCAGCAGCGATTAACGTAAGTTACACATATTATGTTCAGTCCTCTTAATCCAAAGTACCTTAATAAAGTAACGTTTAGTAGTTTCATTAATACGATGTTCGCATGAGGTGATTTGCCAGGCAATTTTATGGGCGATTGGTTGAAACAAAAGTTGGCTACACCCCAACTTCATTGAAAACGATTATTTGAAAGGCCGTTCACACCAGGCGATTTTTGCCCTCAATTAAAAGTTGTTTGTAAAATCGTCTCATGCGAACACCGTAAAAACGATATTCAGCCGCAACTCTGATTAAACTAAACAATAATTTGCATTAAATTATGTTATCGGCAGGGTCACGCACCGGCAGGAGGATGTCTGCTAGCAGCATCTTGTGAATATCGTGTTATGCTGCCCAAATTCACGATAGGTTTGAATGAAACCCGCCTGGGAATTATGGCACCGAATTGGTTTATGGCTTCATTCCTTAACGTACTCCCGCGGCGTATCGCCGAGTTAGCGCTTACACAGGGTAGAATGTTCACCACTGTTGAAGCGCAACAGGCAGGTCTCGTTGATGATGTTGTCAACACAAAGGAAGAAGCGCTAGCTAAATGTGAAGAGTTCTTTGCCTCGTTCAAGCAAGTCAGTCCCTACGCACGTGCCTTGACCAAGCAGCAATTCCGTGTCAAGGAATTACAAGACCTCGAAGAGCATCGTGAACAAGACCTACAGTTATTCATCGATACTATCACTAAGCCGGGTACCCAAAAAGCGTTAGGATTATATCTGGAAAGCTTAAAGAAGAAAGCTTGAGCATGCCATTCGAAAGCGAATTACCTGCTGAGTTTTACATTGTGGCATTTTTCGATTTAAGATTATAGTGGTTTGATATATATACATTATTAGATGTTCGCATTTATTTTGAATTCGTATTTAAATTTCGTTATTTATCATGTAGATAGAAAAGTATAACAAATAAACCTTGAGTACTCCCTTTTATTTTACGCTTCCTCATTCATTATTTCTTCGCGGATTTCACTCTGCAATGAGGCTAAAGACTCGGACATCAATTCAAGGAAGGAATTGATTTCAAGAATTTTAGCTCTATTGCGCTCCAATTCGTTACTGTAAAAAGATTATGAAAGTTTTGATTTTCGATTTAGTAAGTAATTAGTACAAGGCTTTATGTCTGATTAAGCCACTTACTTATTAAGTTCATCGATCATGTTTTCTATAAAATCTCTGCTCCGCACCATTAGCCGATCTTCTCGCTCATCAATACGTTGAATATGTGTATCCTTCATGCCAGCGATCAAATTAAGGACAGCTTCACGATCTTCCATGTAATGCGACAATTCAGGTGGCACATCTTCGAAATCTTGCAGTGCTAACTTCGTGTTGATGTAATGTGTGGCCACTTCGGTCATGTTTTCAGAAAAGTGAATGGCAATGTCACGTAGCTGTCCGAAATATGTTTGTACTTGCTCCACAAATCTGGCCATCATTTCTTGTATGCGACGTTGAAAGTTGACTGTGGTTTCCTGAGGTGGAAATAATCAAAGGTCAAAAGTTAAAAAAGAGCGTACCGTCGCATCCACGTAACCGATATGACCCAGATTTTATATCTACTTAAGGACTATCAGAAAACATTCCCCCAAATTGTCGGGGGATTTTTCATGCTATATTAACATAAACAGGAGAAGAAATGCGAATTCGCATGGGAACGGACATTCCCAGAAATGATAAAACAAAATAAAAACAATAAGGTGGTGTTGGGGTGTGGGAACAGCTAAATTTTTCGCCGTGGGAAGCATAACATTAAAACGACGTGTTTGTTGTAATTCGTACTGCCATTGTACGTGGTTGCTGTTGTAGCGAGACTATTACACCCCGATTAGGTCGGCTTGTTCATTAATCGTTGTCGTCAAGCTCCACTAACGGTAGACCCAAGAAACGAACTGTTTCGACGGGGTCGGATCAATTGGAGAGGGGTGTTAGCTAAGTGGGATTGAGCTGATATGTGCAGAGGTGGTTGGGAGTCTCTACATGCCGGACACTCATTGGGGATATCGGGGTAGAGTCTGGAGGCGGCTACAATAGGCCGACCGTAACTGGCCCAGAGTAACGCGGGACTCTATTGGCAGTTGAAGCTCCGTGTCTGCTACAGGTGGTGATTGGGCGGCAATCATAGGTCGGGAGTTGTTGTTATAGCGGCTAAAATCTCAATCATTTTCGTCTAGCTCAACTAATGCGAGATCCAAGAAGCGTGCAGCCTCTATAGGGTCCGTCCATAGGGACAGAGGCGTCAGTCGAGTGGGGTTCAATGGGCAAGCGAAGGGATGTATCGAGTCGTGGGTGCCGCATGCCGGGCACTCATTGGGTACGTCCCAATCCAGTGTTCTCAGGTAGAGTTTAACCTTCTGCAGTAATCAGAGCGAAGTTGGGCCATTGGGTCCGAGTCTTCCGAGGCAGACGAAACTCTGTCTCGTTCACGTCAGGTGGTGTGTGCCCAGAACGACATTCACAGGCAGGAGTCTACGTAACTTGAGACTGACTTCCTGCGAATGCCGCTCAAGGCCTGTCGGGTCCAGAGGTTGCTTTATGCAGCCTTGTGACGTGCCTTGGCTAGGACTCCTCTGCAAGCAAGTGTCTGTTCGAGTGCCCACGTCTTAGGGAGCCACAATTGCTTCCAGAGCATTGTGTTGTGCTCCCTAACGTGAAGCATTTGCGCCTCGTCATGTAGGTGATGTTATGGCGACATCAGAAGACATCCGGTCGCTGTCCGGAGTGCGGCGTTCTAATTAGTCTGTAGCTTCGTCCACTGCGTCCAGCTTTTACTGGCGACCGAATGAAGAAGCGAGAAAGTTCGGAGAGGTAGCCTTTTACTTTCCTGCAGAAGTCAACAATTTCATTCCCCGACGTCAATATCCCCCGCCCTCCCTGAGCAGAGGAAACTTCGAGATACAGAAGTTGAAAAGTAGGTGGCAGAGGACATCACACTCTGGAAACCCTTGTTTAACTCTTTTAGGATTTGAAGTCTGATCTCGAAAGGTTACTGACGACTGCCGTCTGCTCTTTATAATTCGTCGACCACCGTTTAAGTTCCTATGGGAGAGAGGAAGAGCCGATATCTTCTAATAGTGTGGAATGACAAAGGGTGTCAAATGTCTTTGACAGGTTCAACGCTACCATGACTGTTCTCTCAAGGGGCTGCTACGGTTAAGACCACGTTTCACCTTAGTGGTAACAATACTGTAAGGTATTGACGGGGTGCAATATTCATCTGCTTCGATACCCAAGCAGCAGCCATGCCCGTCTGTATTGGCTTGATGGGTTATAAAGACGTCAAAGGCAACGAAAAAGCTGATGCACTAGCCACAGCTGGTTCGGTGGAGAAATTCACAAAATGAGTTGTATTTGATAACAGAAACACTATGAATACTGGCACGGTCTCCACACTTGCCGGCAGTCTAAAATAGGCCTTGACATACCACGCATCGATGTGACTACTGGCGTTGGGCTAACATGATTTGCGGACAACTGTTGACCGCTTCGCCTGGCTGAACCTCAGAGGCTTTGGGAACTAAACCACAGGCCTTGACAGGGGAAAAATCTGAGTCATTCCGGTGCGTAGAACCGGCTGTTGGGGGAATGTTGTCATTGTGTGTAAAATCAAATCAAATGGGAAGTGAATTGCAGAACCTGCCGGATTGTCTCCTCAAAATTCACGCGAGTAAACGCTAAGTACGCGGCCATAAATAACAGTTGATTTTTATTTACAAACGCAACGCCTTCTTGAGGCTTCTCTCTACGTTAGATTTCAGTTCTTATAGCCCGTCCTAATGTAAAAGCCTCACATTTTTCCAGAATCAAAATTGTTTTGCAAAAATACTTTATACTTAGGGCTGTACGGCGAATTTTATGCACTAACCTCTACACTCTCGTGTAAATGCAATTCCTGGCTCATCAGCTGCTGCCATACTTCATTGATGGTATCATCAAATTGCATTGAAATCTTATCAAATTGTTCCAATAAGTCCAAACTCTCGGGCGACTCTTCATCTTCGCCGCGCATAGTTCGTATCTCCAATGCTTTAAGTACAGCAGATGCACGTTCGAAGACGCTTTCCTTATGTTGTAGAAATTCTTCGATTACATCTTGACCCATTTTTTGTATCAAATTTTGACCTTCTTCCAAATTCTCCTTGAATTCATTTATCTCTAACTCACGCTCTTCATAACATTCCAAACCAAATTTATATATTTCTTGCGTCACACCATAGATATCATTGTCGTATTCCTCAGCAAGATCGGTAGCCGTCTGCCCGATCTGTAGTAGCGCATGACCATCTTCGTCCCCTTTCCACAATGACTCGTACAACTGATGCTCGTTTAGATATTCAACAAAGCTGGAGGCCAAACGTCGTTCATCATATTCCTCCTTAGCCTTGGCAGCGCGTGCCAAAATTTCATTCTCTTCATTAGCTTCAATTTCACGAACCTCGCGGCTAAAAATAAAAATTAAGAAGAAAGGTAATGAGTTTCTGAGTCTCTTAAATCAACCAGCATAGGGCAGCCTATTAATTATTGTCGCAGAGTCCGCCTAAGGACTAGGACATTTACAAAAAGGGCGTTGATTATCGATAATGTTGGCCACAAACTACTGCGATTTGAGATTGGAAATACCACTATTTTTTTATTTTTATTAATTTTCACACTTTCTCTTAACGAATAGTTCAAAATGACTCAGATCGTTTAGCGATATCGCGGAGACTTTTATCTCTTAAAATATCGTATTCTTAAAAGCAGTTCCTTCGATGATCAGCTTTCATAACTGTAGTCTTTATAGATACAAAATGAAAAAGCCAATAGGGACTGCTGATGTGAAGCGGATACTCATAGGGAATAGGGGACCAATGTTCTGAGCTTTTTTTTTTGTCGGAACTAACAAAACAACGCGTCCCCTTTACATCAGTTATAAATCTACGTGATCTGCGAATAAATCGGAGAAGATAGTTTAATGAGTGTAGTCAGATCGGTTGAAATATAGAATCAGCTGAAAAATATGAAATATAGAATCAGCATACGGAAAATGTAATACAAAAAGAATCGACGATTTATCATATGCGTCAGACGAAGTGGCACTAGTTATCGTAGGCATGACACCTATCGATCTTCTATCTGAAGAAAAAGCGAGAGTGTATCAACGCTGTCGAACCTTCACTACTAGCCGGAAAGAAGCTAGTCGAAGCGTCAGTCCGAGAAGGTGAGAGGCTCAGAGAGGGTGGTTTGAATGGATCCGAATAAGGTGGGTTTTTATGTAATATTTTAAAATACATTAACCCGGAATGCCTGAGGAATGTAATGAACTTAGCGCACTGCCCTCAAACCACTTCCCGACGAAAGTACCGGGGGATTGGTACTTAGACGGTAAGAGGTTTAACTCGGTTTAAAGTCCTACTGACGAAATTTGCCTTTCGATGCTTCCAGCTCGTAAAACAGTAAATATTGGATTGATGGGTGTTAAAGAGCTTAGGCGTTCGTGTCTCAATACATCACTGCCAGAAGCCTCATACATAATTTTTATAAAGGCAGGCAAGAAGCACAAAAAGTGTTCCGGCGTGGCATCATTTTCAAGGCAGGAGGGGCAAATGTCATTGTAATGCATGCCTATCACAGTATGATGTAGGGATGTTAGTCCCGGCCTATTTTATGTCCCGAAAATCTCGGGATTATTTGCCAAGAATCCCGCGATTTTTGGGATTTGTAATTTGCAATGGTGGCGTTATGTTGAGCAGATTTTTCTATCTTTCTTTTGTTTGTTTAATATTTAATATTTTTTAAAAATGTCTAGAGCATTATATGTACATACATATAACACCGTGCGACAGGCAATTTTACACACAAAAATAAATACATTCGCGAAGCCATGGGCCGAATATATGCAGTAAAATTGCGTTTTTGGTTTTTCTCTCTGCCGCACAGTGCTGTGTCTCCATATAACNATAAATTGTATTTTTAGCAATTTTTTTTTTAAAGACTCCAGCTAAAGGCATTTTCATAAAAGAAAAAATATATAAAAAACACACAATTTTAAGAGGTTTTTGTGAGAACCTTATGAGATAAAAACAAAAACTAAGTCCAGATCCTTAATCTAGGATAAATTTCCTTTCCAACGATACCAAACACGTTGACATACTGGACAACAATTTTTTTGATTTTTGACCGCTCATACAGCACTGTGTGCCGTCAGGATTTTTTTTAAAGGTCGTTGAAAATTGATTAGTATGAGTAGTTCAGAAATTGATTTAAAAAATTCAGAGCAATGTACTGAGAAAAGCAGTATGGGCAAGGTACATTGAACAGGTAGTATCAGTAGAGCAGCTGATTTGATTTATTTTCAAATTATTTGGTCTCGAAAATGTCAAATATTTTTAATTTTTTCTCACGAAAATTATAAGTTGTTAAAATCCATTTGCTTGTGAAACCTTTTTCCATACAAAACAAGCGATTGAATAGCAGCTTTTGGAACGTTCGCCCAACTCGGCAGCACGACCGCTGATTACTGGGCCTTGCAAAGGATGGATCAATGCTTCGAGAAGCAAACAAATTTACTAGGAAAGAAAGTTGCATAAATTTTTATTTTTTCCAATTTAAATTTTTTTTATTTTTTATAATTTTTTGCATTTCACATGGCACGCTTTGATTTAGAAGAAAAAATTCAGAACAGTTGTTGACACTTTCGATACCAGAAGCAACAACAAAATACACGCAAATGTTGTTTTTGCTCTACTGTTACTACCTGTTTAATGTGCCTTGAGTATGGGTATCAAATAAAGAGAAATTCTGTAGAGAAAAAACAGAATAAATTTTTTTGGTGCATAAGGTATTGAAAATGTCCTTTTAAAATTTGGTCCTTGAATATTTTTGAAACTTTGCAATATTTATTTTGAAAGAAGTATATGTTAAGGACTGATATAAACTCGAAAATATCCTCGAATATAGGCCTTCCAACTTTATAAGCTTAAAAAAATAAAATTGATTAAAAAACGGGCATTTTCAATGCCTATTCGTTTTTGCGAACTCAAAAAATTTTAATTTTTATAAATCCTACAGTATTTTCTTTTTCATTTGGTACACATTTTTATTCTAAATGCACTAAAGATTTTAAATAATTGTTGGAATTTACCATATTTTTATAATAATAAAGTTCTATAAAAAAATGTCTAAAACTAAAAACGCAGTTTTACTATATTTGAAATTTTTTTGGTTTCAACTTGTTTCAATCTTTTTACTCAGAATTTTCGGAAAAATTCTAGGTACGCAATTTTATAGCCCATTAAATTACAGGAGGATACAGTGCAAGTTTCAAGTGACTAAAAATAACGTTAATTTTTTATATATTTTTTGCATTAAAAGTATGTTCGCCAATTTCTTAATTTGGAAGAAAATGTACAGCATCGTAAAAACAATCTTAAAAAATCAACGGAAACTTGCATTTTATCCAACTATAATTTAATGGGCTATAAAACTGCGCACCTAAAATTTTTCTAAAATACTGAGTAAAAAGTTTGAAATTTTGGTTAGAGCTTTTTGCATTTTAATAATATTTGTAGACTAAACTGGTTAAAGTTTAGAAGGCGTTTCTTTTACTTCTACATTTGCTAAATTAAGTTTTTTTTTTTTTCAATCGAACCACAAGTTACTTTATTAGATATGTACACGCTAAAGTATTGTTAAATGTGTATAAATTTAATTACTGTCCTTTGTTTTGTCTGTCCAGATAGACCCTCTGGGATTGAGGGCAACATGAATTTGGTTCGCCTACAGCCCATCGTAATTTTCACTCAGTTTCTGACTGTGACTTCGATGGCCCCGAAGTTGGGAATGCTATAACTGTGTGAAGAGCACAACACACAGTTTTGGTTGGGTTAGCAGACAGCCCATTCTCACTAGACGAATTACCAATCATATTCAGTATTATTTGCGCTTTCCTGTAAAGAGCGAAATACACAACACAAGCGGCTTGACAAACCAAGCGAAATTTCCCTTTGCTTCAAGCCATTTGTGCTGTCTATGGGGTGTTTGAAGGTTTGACAAACCGCTTGAGGGAAATTTGAGCAAAAATCAAATTTTTTTGATTTTCTGGCCGCCATGTTAACGTTTGATCAAACCGCTTGCGATGTGGATGGTAAAATCGCCTCAATTGCAACTGAAATTTCACCAAGTGAAGACGTAAGGGAGAATAATGGTAGAAAACTAAAATGTTTTACATTGTTAACCGAAAGAAAACTAAAATTCTGTGCTTGAACGACTCATGTTTACATGGTCTATGGCAAAATGGGAAAAGTATGTTTGACAAGCCGCTTGTGTGGTGTATTTCGCTCTTAAGCAACTGACATAGAGTAAATGATTTTCCCTACTGTGTAAGCCGGTCATACAAATTATTGGTTTTATTTGCCTACATAAAGGAGTTATATCGCAAAAACCTGTATCTTGGGGAAAGGAAATCCAACGAAACCAAATGGAATCTGCGGCCGAAGGCGAGTAAAATACGTAAAAAATTTGGGGAATAGCAATACTGTAACTGAAATTTTTTTTGAATTAGAAATCTGAAGGTATTCTGCCTTATCCTGAGTTTCACCTGAAAAAAAAAAATTCACCCGAAAATTTGTCATCCGCCCATAGTAAAACCATGGAAACCAAGAGTAAAAAGTTAACCGGTTCGGGGAAAATGAAGGTCATGATAAGGCTGATTGTTTTTTTTTTTTGGTTTTTGTAAACAAACTTTGAGTTGAGAAATGAAACAGTTATAACACGCAGTCGGATGCTGATAAAGTCGGACAAAATAAAACTGAGCTACTCAAATCTGCCACTAAAATTTTAATGCATTTGTTTGGGCAGGCTTCTATTAGCTTCACCTGTATGTAATAATCTCGAGCTTTTTAATTAAATTTGGCTGAAAGATTTTGAGTTTGCAGTTTTGTAATTTAAGTTAATTTAAGTATAATAAAGTGCAAGTTTAAAGTAGCTCCAACTTACGGTTGATTTTTGGGAAATTTTTTGTGTTGCTCATTTTCTTCATATAATCGAACATACTTTTTATGGAAGAAAATAAGAGGGTGCAATGCAAAAAGCTGGTACAAGTTGGTACCAATTGTTGCCAAATCGTGCTCGAGTTTGGCCAAAAAACTAGTAAAACTTGCAAAGAGAGAGCACAATTTTGACATTTCATTTGGAGGGGAAGTTGCAAATTCGTGCTGGGAAAATTTTTGCCAGCAAGAAGTTGCAAGCAGGATTGTGGCACACGGTTGCATTTTTGTCAACAATAATTTGAATCAACAAGAAAGAAGTATGTAAACATTTGTTTTTCAATTAATTTAATTAAATAATTCCCAAAATTTGAAAGGTACTCGGCTAAAAAAGCTGTATTCGTAATCGGAACGCAGTCAACACCACTGTCAAAATAGGAAATCCGACAATGACTTGCACAAAGAAATTGAAGCTTATGTTGAAGAGGGTCAGAATAAGAAAAAATATATGTAGGTATAGGTCCAGTTTTGTTTTCCACCTGAAATTATTTAAAAAATGTATTATGTTCGAAATGCAACCAAATGGACGCCAGCTGGAAGTGAAGCTTGCAAATGTTTGCTAATTCCTGTTCGCGCAAAACTTAGTAAGTTTCTCTCTTTGGGAGAGCAAGATACCTTATTCTCTGGATTTTGTTACTGGCTAATTCTTACTGGTTTTTGCATAGCGAACAGAACTAATGACTGACACTGTCAAGAAAAAAATTGCCAAAAATCAACGGTAAGTCCTAGCTACCTCAAACGTATCCTTTGTGACACTTGAATTGGTCTAGTGGGCTATAAAACTGCATACTCAGAATCTTTCTAAGAAATCGAATTAAAAAGCTCGAAATTTACCAGATACCATGCTGCATCCGCCATTTTGAATTTTGCAATTCCGACAGCGGATTCGTATTTAGCGACCATGAAAACCGCATAGAATGAAATTTCAAACCATTTCTTTAACGCTTCGAATTTTAGCCGCACTTTGCAACGTTCGGACCAAAGTTATAATGGCATTTCATATTATTGAAAAAAAAAAAATCGCAAAAGATCTACAAAATTTTTACTTTGACCTGCTATAATTCAGCTAGTTCATGAATTTATATGGCTAAGTTTTAATACCTAAAATATATCCGATTTCAAGTGAAAATGTTGTTAAATTTTTGAGATTTAAAATAATTAAAATTTTTCCAACCACTAAAACTTTGTCTAAAATTTTGAAATTTTCGTGGACGTGTTTATTTCATACGTAGAACAAAATTTAGATGGTGATATTTTTAAAAGCTATAAAGTAGGGACCGAAAATAACCATTAAATACCAAAATTTTCGATATTAGAAAATTGCAAAATCGTTTTTTAAATTTTTTTTTTCAATCAAGAATAGTTGTTAAATTAAGATATTTTTTTTCGAATAATCGTTATTTTTGGATTTTTATATTTTCCATAAATTTTAACTGTTATCATGAAAACCTAATTTTCATGTCCGTTTTTTGATCGAAAAAATACAAATCAAAAAAACAGCGGTTACATTTTAGCGGAACAATATAAATCAAATTTTAAATGTTAAATTATGATTTTTATCATAACGATCATAACCGTTACGAATAAAAAAATATGAAAACTAGTTAATTTCATCTACTTACTAGTATTTTTCCTTGCCCTTTTGACGCATGTCTTCAGTAACGGTTTTATATTCGTAATACTTTACGCCAGGCAATACAGCTGCAACATAAAGATCCATTTGGAATTCAGTTTTCTTTGCTATAGGATTGCCCTCCAGATTAAGTACGCGTAGGTCCTTCAAGAAACGAAAACGTTCGATCTTTGTGTGAAACAAATCGTAACTTGTTAATAAATTGCGCATGGAAGCCTTAGCTAAACAATATTTGATTACGTACTCCCTCAGTTGTTTCGATTTTATTGTTGCCCAAACTTAAAATCACCAATTTCTCTAAAGTATCTACATTTTCAATTTTTGTTATTAAATTACTAAAAAGTGTGAGAACTTCGAGGTTAACGAGTTTTTCAATATTCTCAATACGTTCGATGTAATTAAAACTCAAATCAAGTTCTTTTAGCGCCAACAACATATCAATGTGTTCAATGACCTCGATTTTATTACAATTCAGCGAGAGCTTCGTCAAATTTGGCATTATCCAGAGATGATCGATGCGCAAAATGTCTGAAAAGAATAATTTATTTAATACTAGCCCGTCACGGATGCGCGAGGCTTCGCCACGCGCTAAATGTGTGCATCTGTATGTACATTTACGTATCTGGAGAAAAGAAATCATATGTGATCATATACTTCGTTTATTATATACATAAAAAATCTTGTCTAAATCCCTTCAGTGGCGTGGTTAAAATATCTCGCCTTTCCTTTATACTATGTATCGAAGATGGTAATTTTAAATAGGTGGCAACCCTACTCAAAAAACTTAAAGTTTTTGTACATCCGAAGGCCATGCACTTTCATTTGGTACCTCATTTTTTTATCCAATAGACGGTGAAGATCTTATAGTTTTTAAACGGATGGCAACCCTACTCAGAAAAATAATGCATTATTACACATCCAGAGGCTAAGTCTTTTCATTTGACAGTGGCGGTACAGAACTGATGCCTACGCTTATTATGATTGAATACAGTAATTTCATTAACAGGTGGCAACCCTATTAAAAAAATATTTGTGCTTTTCTAGAGGCCAATCCCTTTCATTTGACACCTCATCTTTTGTAATCCAACGAGCGGTGCGGATTTTATAGTTTTTTAGACAGGTGGCAACCCTTTTAAAACTCTAAGTAAAAAAAGATCCGGTAGTTTTCGAGATTACCGCGTACAAAGAATCTCTACTTACAGTTATACTATGTATAGATACGAGCTTTTAATTAAAATAATCTTATAATTCGATTCATTTCTTTAAAGGTGAACTAAATCAATATTCACCTAATGTGTGTATGTATATCTTGGTAACCGCCGTACAAATTTTCAGAAATACGAAAACTGCGATATTTTAGTAACTACTGAAGATTATTCACTAAAAATTTATATTTACAATTGAGGGATTCACAGGGATTCTTTGCAAAAGAATTATGTGTTAAAGAGCCAAGGGCTGTTCAGATAGTTACTTATAACTGTTATCTTAATTATACCCAACGAGTTAAAAAAAAAATATGAGAACAAAAAATTCGTTGTGAAATTTTTATAAGTTTGCAATTCTTGAACGTCAATATTTCGCAAAAAAAGGCTGATACGATTTTGGTGAAATTGGATTTTGGTTACGTAGGTGATAACGAACAAAGTAGCATTTCAATTTTTGTCGTACGTTTTAGTGAACTATTAACTAATTCAGGAACAGTGTGTTTACGAAACAATTTTTTTCTTCCAAATAAAAATACATGGAAAACTTTGAGCGCTTTGAGCGACCTCTAAATATTTTTTGATTTCAAAATAAAAAAAATAAGGGGATACCTTTTTTTGATATAGAACAATCCTAGGTGGTGAGAGCATTACATTTCCAACTTTACTGCTTTTGGACCACACTGTGCAACCACGGTTAGATGCTAGTTTTCAACCAGGTTGCGCAAGTTAGACCTTTTATTCTAGTGCGATTTATAAATAAACAGACTGAAGTATTGTGTTTTGATGTTTTGTTATGCATCCTCACTCACAAACTTTCAGATTTATAATATTAGTAGGATATCAAATCCCTAACTTATTTTAAAAACTCACTCTGAAACTCCAACCTTAGTATGGAAATGCGTTCATACACCACTGGTTCCATTTGATGAAGACGCGCAGCTTCACCTGTCTTACCATCTTCTAGATAAGCTTTGTCAATCATTTGCTTGCTAATTATGCCAGGCTCGATTTCTGGATAGATTATCTCATCCAAAGATTTGAGATTTTCAAGCTTCTTTGAGTCGCTCATTTCAGAAGTTTAAAAGGGGAAAGGTGTGGTCTTAAAACAATTTGTAGAGAAGCAGGTATAAAGGGCTGTAAAAAAGACAAGAAAGTCGGGTGTTAAGGGCCGTTTACATACGACTTTTGCTTCGCTTTGCTTCATAATTCCGCCTTGACCCTTTGGCCATTTAGTGTGACATACATATACTTATATACATACATGTATGTATGTACATTAGGGCGGCTCAATCTGTATTTGATTTTTTCGACTATGCGCGTATAGCACAGCAGGATTCTAGACATAATTCTAAGCAAATTTGCCGAAGAAATCATTGGTCTAAAATCAATTTAGAGTTTGCCAAATTGCAAAAATAGGTTTCTTAGCATTTTGCTGTAGTGTCGTAAAAAAGTATTTAAATGTTGTATAAAAACATACTATAAGGGGTTTTTGGTATGAGAATCCATTTCTGCGCTTATCTTTTTCTTAAAACATTCAAAAGAGAACGCAACAGAGAAAATGTTCACATTTTCTTCGAACCCCATTTTCGCAATTTGGCAAACTCAAAACTTTGTTTAGAATTACACGTGGAATTCTTCTATGCTATACGCGCAAAGTAAAACAAACAATTAACCGCTGTAATGCACATACATATGTACATATATTAGGGTGCCCCGCAAAAAATGTTGCGGTTTTCCACCGGCATTATAATATTTAAGACTTCCGCCAAACGCCTTCCGGAAAAATGTTAGGATTTACGCGATTTGGACAGATTTGAAAATACCTCCAAAAATCCTATTATTTTGATTCTGTTGACATGATTTTTTTTAAATTTTGATGTGACCCTCTAAGCATAAACTTTTTTAATACTTTTTAAACAAATTTTATTTGTAAAAAAACCGATAAATAGAGGTATTTTCAAATCTGTCAAAAGCGTGTGAATCTTCATATCTTTCTGAAATATTTTGGTCCTCAAAAATTCAAACCGATTTTATAATTCCGATGGAAAAACTGTCCAGATTTTTTTGTATAGTATGTGTATGAGTGATGCACCCTAATGTATATACATACATAAGTATGTAATGTATAATATATATATATATTAAATACATACATATGTAACACCTTAAACCGCCTTTTTTCGCGATAGTATGGTTTTCATAAAACAATAAAATATTTGTTTGCACAGACTTAAAGAACCGAATTCTCTTGGCTGGTTTTGTTTGTTTCAATACTTATTAAGTATATCGAGCACCGACGCGTCTGTGGGTTGTCACCTCTGACCCTAAGTAAATATTAATTACATACTAGTAAGCACTTTTACACCTAAGTATTTGCTTTCTTTCACTTTTGCTTCAATTTACAATCATTTGGAACTGTTGTTTATTGTTTTGGTTGTGGGTCGTCAAGGTGACGACCAACCACCAAGGCTTCGGCGTTACAAGGCGTATTAACCATAGCACACACTCATACTCAAACAAGTAGGTATGGACCGAGTTGTGCCGGTCGGTCCCGAGGGCTTTCGATGCCGTCGAAACCATGTCTGCCATCTTTACGCATTTGCCATTCTGCCTTGAGAACTGAGGAGAAGGAAGTACAAAGAGTACTCGCGTTCACTTATGTACGTGCACTCTCGCGCTGCTTTTAACAGAGTTCTTTCTACATTCGATTTGTATACCAACCGGTAGTCGTGGGTCCCCAACTAGTAATGCGGCAATCTTCGAACAGGTGCAAAAAGTTTCTTCCACCCCGTTGTGGCAAGGACTAGTTCGATGGCTTAGCTGGTTGCTTGTTGGCTGCCTTAAAGTTGTTCAGGTGTTCGGTGCGTATTTTTGGATATTAATTGTTGTGTGCTGCTTGGTTGGCAGGCGTTTCTCCTTTTATGCTAGGCGAAATGCGTGAGCAGAGTCGGTTGGGCTTTCGTTGCTTATTCGTGTCGGCTAGCCTTAGAAGAACTTTCAACGTTGACAACGTAAGCGGTAGTTACGGTTGTGATTGTTGTGTATTAGATACGAGTACTCGGGAAAAATTATAAATATTTGTTAAAAATAAAAATATTCAGATAAATCAATGGAGAGTTCAAAGATATAGCAAACTTGAAAAGTAAAAATTATTAAAGAAAGTACTTACAATTATGATCAATTATAGATCAATTATGTGAAATAATGTGTAAAAAAAGAAAGATTTCTAAGAAAAACTGTCTATATAATTTCAGTTGCACTAAATGCAAATGAAAAAAAAATAAAAAATTAATTGCAGATAATCGATAAATCTGAAGCGCTCACTAATCACAACGAAAGTGTAACAATTGTAAAATAAATTGCTTAAATGTTCGATTATCGTATAAAATGGGGTAAAAGGTGGCCGTTTTATGAGCCTACCCAATTATAATAACGCAAAGTGCTACTATCAAAAACCACTAAGTTACATGCCACTTTATAAAAAAGTATTGGTTAGGGCCTTTGTGAATTAAGGTAACGCTATGTACATAAATAAGGATACCGAAATGATTGCTTTTAAAATGTGAACATTTCTAGAATAAAACTTCTCCCTTAAATAATTTATGTATAAACGAGCATCTGCAACTGCATATCATTTAATAAGTTAATGGAAGAGGTGAGACTAGCTTTTTTAGTCTTGTATATATTTTATTAAAAATGCCATTATTAATTCTCAATAGCGGGCTCTTTTTGCCAAAGTTCACGTTTTTGCTTTCAATTAATTTCAAATTATCATCTTCTTTCTTAAGCGATTTTGCAGGATCGCCAGCTGACACCACTTGCAAATGCCAAGTGAAGCCAAGTCTTCCTTCACCTGGTGTTTCCATCTCAGAGAGAAGCCTGCTCTTCATAACTTTGAGTTGCTGTAATTTAATTCACTGTACTATGTCTGTCTGGGAGTGCGATGAGGTATAGCCGATCTACTGGGGATGCAGTTACAGTTGTACGGCTATACTAAATGCCAACTCTCGTTCGCGCACTCTCGTTAACATGAGCAACACAAGTGCGATATGCGGTAACTAATCTGAGTAGAGCCTTGGCTAACAACGGAAAGAGAGAGAGGGCTCTTCGGTGACGCAACTCCGGCATATTCGGCTTAGGGTCTCACTGACGTACGCAGCGTCTGTTCACCATTAATTGCGGCTGCAAGCGGGCGTATGTCTTGGAGCAAGCGGCTCGCTATAACAACGGAGACTTCGACAACTTAAATCTAGGGTCAACAGCCACCACGGAAAGAATTGTGCCACAATCCGCATAAAGGCTAACTATATTAAACGTCAGCCTAATATTTGCGCACGCTCCAAAGGAGGAGAAGGACAATGACAATAAGGAGTGCTTCTATGAGCGCTGCCCAGAATACCGAAATAGGCTGATCGACTTCACCGCGGCCCGAAACACGGTAGATAGTTCTAGACACGGGCATCGAAACATCCACAACGCCCTTTCGGTGTCTCCTGATCAAAGAACGAAGAACCAAATTGACGCGGCGGAAGTTCGACGTGGCGCAGTCACAGTGGACAGCCGAAAAATCTCGCAATCGAATTTCAATATTGATCAGTGGAATTCCATCTTCCAATCACTTGGTAATGCTGGTTATTACTTGACTGCGGATGTTTACTAGACAGAAGATATGCAAATCACCACACAACATCATTTTGATAGCGCGGAGAAAAGCTGTCTGTAATATGCAATGTCTAAATTTGGGATCCCCGCAAAACTAATACGGCTATGCAGGTTGACGTTGAGTACAACCTACTAGCTACTAAGGTTGAAATAAGTAGGGCGTTTGAGACCAAATGAGGTTTTAGACATGGCGATTTACTTTCGTGCGACTTTTTCAATCTGGTGCTGGAAAGCGTAATAAGAGCTCCCAATCTGAATTGTAGCGGCACCATATATATCAAAAGAATGATGCTGCTGGCGTATGTAAATGATATCGGTATGAAACAAAGGGTCGTAACCGCAGCATTTACCAGTTTAGAAAAATAAGCTAAAGAGGTTGGTCCAGCGGTTACATAAACATATAAAGAGTCCACGCGTTTTGGAACACACGTGACTGTCGGCAGCTATAACTTTGAAGTAGTGAAATTTGTCTACCTAGGATCCAGCACAAGCACCACCAAAAACTTCATCCTGGAGATCAAGCGAAGAATAACTCTATCCAATAGGTGCTACTTTGGGCTCGGAGGCAATTGAAAAGCAGAGCCCTCTCTCGACGCACAAAAATCACACTCTACAAATATCTCATCATGCCCGTCCTTTTATATGGCGCAGAAACTTGGATGATGTCGAAAAAAGATGAGAAGGTTTTGGGAGCTTTCCAGAGAACTATTCTACGCAAGATCTACCGGGATGACGTGTACCAGAGAAGATGGAATGACGAACTGTACGAGCTTATTAACGATATGGACAAAGTTAAGCGAATAAGGATACAACGATGGCGCTGGCTTGGACATGTTGCACGACTCCTCACCCATGGGTGAACAACGAAATCAAGGGCACCCTCGAACCCGATGGAAGGACCAAGGACCTTCTAAGGTCCTAAGGACTAATTTGTTTTGTGCGTGTATTCCAACCTGAGTTGATGGATTTCGAGGAAAACCTTGTCGGGTCTGGACCAGATTGGACGTGATATCCCGCATATTGGGCCTTCATGAAAGGTGGCAGTAATGGGCGTACCAACCCTGGCCAACTAATCTGCTTCACAATTACCTGGCATATCTCTGTGTCGAGAAACCCAAATCCCGCTGTTGGAATTTGGATGTCAGATTCCTTAGAATATGTTTACATTCTATGTGTAACTGTTTTGAAGGTAGTCAAGAAGCGTTCTAAAATTTACGTCTTCACTGTCCTACAGAGTTATGGATTTTTAGGATTAGCATCGTCATGCAGCTTCTTTGATAGCTCAGCTGGAAGCACACCGCAGAATTTTTGCAATTGGAAGTATAAGCTAAGTACTTAGCTAAAATTCGAAGGTATATATGGGAGTAGTGTAAGAGTAAATTTCCAAGACCGTATCTTCGTCCCATTCTTTTCACTAGCAAATCTGTGTGGTAAAGATATTTACCAAGCTATAGGTTGGCTACAGGGAATGTTGCTGTTTTGACAGCCAAGCAGTATTGGAAACTTTAGCTTCCAAGGTTGTAAAATCTAAAGAAGTTGCAGATGCAAGATCTATTTTGAGCTCCTTTATAAGGCAACCACAGACGTCGGATTTTTGCTTTTCCCGTCCATTGCATTGCATTGATGGCGATGACTGTCAGTATTTACGAAGCAGTGGTCTACTTTCCCCATTAAGAACGTCCGGATATTCCAGGTGCATGCCCTCAAATAAAAATGTTTTCATTGACAAGGGTTTTTACGCGGCGGATCTCAGAGTTGTAGAATACACGTTTATATAAAGAAGGCCGCGCTCCAAACCAGACACCGTCTGCAGCGGGACCTCTTTGAGAATAGACGCTGCAGACATCAGGGGATTATTAAACCGAATATGTCGGAGTGGCTCCAATGAAGCCTTACTGTCATGTCCCTAGGCTCCGCGAGGTTTGGTTACAACATGGACGCAAATGTAGGAATTGCGTAAAGTAAAGCAATTGTGAATGCCTACCCAGTGGAAGAACTTATTTGGAAACAAGTAAAAAAGTCTAAGTTAGGGTGGAGCCGAACATTAAATACCCGGCGCAAGTATTAAATATAGTTTTCACTTTTTTGAAAACTACCGTTACATGGTAAGAAGAGGGGTTTTACCCCTATTTCTAAAAATTTCGATAGTATGTTCACTGAACATTGTTCAGTTCTACTTAATGAGATAAACTTATCGTCTCTAGACACGAATAAAGGAGCGCCATTGTTTTGACGGCGAAAAGGACGCATTGCCGAAAAAAGACGCGTAAAAAAAACTTCGGCGAAGAAAGACGCGTAAACATAGATTTATACCTAGCCAAGAACTGTCACTTCAGCATTATTCCCCAAAAACTCTTTGGGGAATGTACATACTATTACACCCGCAAACATAGTTTACCACGAAAATAAGTTTACGCGTCTTTCTTCGCCGTCAAATGTCAACGCATCTTTCTTCGCCGTCGCCTAGGCTTATGCGCCTTTCTTTGCAGACGTTTTTTTTCGTGGTCAACTTTTGAGCCCTCGCCTTTGTTCGTGTCTAGTGACGTTATATGGTTCAATGTGGGCGGTATTACGCCCACTATCCAAAATTCTATAATAATGTTACTTATTTCAAGGGATTGTTTTAAGTATAAATTTTGAATAAATTAGCGTCCTTTAATTTCGAAATGTCGAAGTTTCAAGAATTTCTAAAATTTACCGTTATATGAAAAGTGGGAATAATTTTAGTCCGAAATTTGATACAAATTGATTGAACGGCTACCGAGATATATATACCTAGTCATAAGTGGGTGGTGCCACGCCCATTTTCCAAAATTTTATCTTTAACGTGTTTTTTGTTAAAGAGTTATTGCAAACACAAATTTTTGAATAAATTAGTTTTTGTATTTACTGGTAATTTTGTACTTCTCTAAATTACCGTTATATGGGATGTGGGCGTGGTTATTGTCCGATTTTAAAAAATTTCAGCCATTTGCTATGTTGTAGAAAGGCTAACAACTGTGCCAATTTTGCGAGAAATTTGTGTACCTGTTACCAAGCTACGCCCATTTTCAAAAAATTTATAATATTCTTATTTTACGTCTAAAAATCATTGTAAATATCAATTTGAAGTGAGTAAGCTTCAGTAGTAACTAAACTATCGCAGTTTTCGTATTTCTGAAAACTGCCGTTATATGGGAAGTTGGCGTGGTTACTGTCCGATTTCGCGCACTTTCAATACCAACCTACCTTGGGTAGAGGACAATCTACATACCAAATTTTGTTGAGATATCTAAATTTTTTCTCGAGTTATAGTGTACACGGACGGACGGACAGCCAGACATGGCTTAATCGACTTCTCTTTTCATACTGAACATTTATGTATACATTTGTCTATATCTATCTCGATTCGTTTTGGCTGTTACAAACAACCGTTATGTGAACAAAGTTAATATACCTCTGTGCACAAGTACGCTCGGGTGTAAAAATAGCCGTCCATCAGCTCACCTGAAAAACACTACAGTAACACCACTCGACAAAATTTGGACCTTTGCTTTCATCTGAGATGAGGCTAGATTTTAGTAATAAAATTTGGTTCGCTGAATTCGAATCTGAGCTCAGAAATGCTCTGCTCTGTGGTGGGGTGGTTATAATCG